TGTGATGCTGATGGAACATTTTAGACCGTTCTGAATATTTTTGAACAATTATATGCGATTCGTGGACAGCAAGGAAGCATTGCCTTCTTTTTATGTACTGTTGTCGAACAAAAATGAACATACATATATTAGACTTCTTTGAGAGATAAAGGAGTTAGTACCTGCCTTAAATCCCATGTCTATATTAACAGGTTTTGAACTTAGCAATGATAAATGCAATTAATATTAAATTTTCACGTGCAGTTAATAGTGGATGTTGTTGTTTTTTGTCAGTGTACTTATCGTAAAATTAGTGGAAATGATTACAAGCAAAGATGCGACACAGATACAGACTTGGCTTTAAACATTCGCATGCTTTCTTCACTAACGTTTATTCCTACAGACCACGTTGCAGAGAAGTTCAAATTTATTATTGGTAAAAACATTTTTCCATCCATTATTTTGTGGATACTTGGATTGGACGTCCTGATTGAAGACAACGACACCAACCATCTGTATTTAAGCTTGAGATGTGGAGCTATTACGATTGTTTGTTTGTAGTTAAGCACAAAGCTACACAATGCCCACCACGGGTATCAAAACCCGGATTCTAGTGTTGTAAGTCCGCAGACACACCGCTGTGCCACTGGGGGGCGGGCTACTACGAAGGTGTGCAACAGGCCAAAAACTAACAATTCTATATATGGAAGTTCATTTCTGGGATAAAGAGAAAACAAAATCTGAACGATAAACGTATTGAGCAACTTTTGAGTGATCAGGAACATTCTGGGCGGAAAAAATATCGTGACTGTACAGAGAGATTAAAAAGATTTGTCAATGCTTTTCAACCAACAAATAATATGAATGATTATTTGCGTAGTATTGCACATAAGTTATTAATTATTATATTGTTAAAATAAATAAATAAATAATACTGTGTTTTTTGAATATCTTTAATGGTGTGATAAAATTGCTTATTGTAATATGATATAATAACATTCCCCATTCTGTTAATTATCTTATTTTTACATTTA